TTGATATTTACTAAGCCAATTTTAATAATCTAACTATTATTAGAATTTTTTATTTAAAGCTAGAAGAACTCTTATTTAGAAAAACCTTCTTTAATTTTTAAAAGATTGTTTTAACTAATTATATTATTAAATTAGATAAGTTAGTTATTTAATTTAAAGAATATAATAAAAAATTAATTAACTTTAGTAAAAAATTTTTATCTTTTTGCTTAAATCAATAATTTAAACTTTAAATAAAAAATTATTAAATACTAAAAAAAGATTTTATATATATATTTTTAAATAAATTTTATTTAGATTATTTTTTTACAAAAATTTATAGATCTTTTTTAGTATAGCTAGGCAATATAGAAATATTATAAGATTATAATATAAAAAAAACTCTACCTCTAACTTTAATCTAACTTTAATTTAAACTATAATTCTCACCCCAACTATTTGTTATCTTTAAAATAATATTTATTAATAATAATTTTGGATATTATTTAGTATAGATAGAAAATAAAAAAATTATAAGATTATAATAAAAAAAAACTCTAACTCTAACTCTAATCTAATTTAAATTTAGTTTATAATTTTTACTCTAACTCAACTAATTATAAATTTGCTTAAATTAGTTCAAATAGTTATTTTATATAGTATAGTCTTATAATAAATTTATATTTCCTATCTATACTAAATATTAATCAAAAAATTATATAACAAATACATATATGCATATGCAGTAAGTTAGTAGATATATACTATATTTTTTTAAATAAATTTTTTTAAAACTTTAAGCAAAAAAAACTTAACAACAACTTAATTAAATTTAATATCATTTTTTTTAATTAATTCTAAAAACTTGAAGAATTTATTTAAAAAAAAAAACTTTTTATTAAATTTAATTAAGTTTTTGTAAGTTTTTTTTTTGTTTGAAGATTCAAAAAAATATTATTAAAAAAAAATATAGTGTATTTTTACTAACTTATTCTTATATCTTTACTATAAAGTTTTACTTTAACTTATAAAATTTTTTTCTAATATAACTATTTTTAAATACTTTTTAACTAGAAATTTTAATTTTTGCTATATAGAGTAGTACTATATTTGTTAATAAACAAAATTTATAATTGCAATATATTAAGTTTATCTAAATTTAAAGAAAGTAAACAATACTTATTTCTAGAAAGAAATAGGATATTTTTTCTACTTTTTTTAAAGATTTTTTTAAAAAATAAATCTGTGATAGAACCTTTGTACTGTTTCTAAAAAGAGTAAATATTTTTAAAAATAATATAAAGACAAGCTTACTGCAAATTAGTAAGTAATAAACTCTAAACTTGTTAGCAAGTAGTATATAATAACTACTTCTAAATAATAAGTATTATCTCTAATATTAAATAATTAGCTCTAAGTCTTTTATTAGAGTATATATATAAGAACTACAGTCAGATCTCTCTATAGTCACACTCTATATAGTTACACCTTATATAAGCACCTAATATTGTATAACAAACTCAAAACATAATAAAAAAAACTTCCTTATAGTTACAAATTATTTATAATCAATATTACCAAATAATTTAATAAATTTGGTAGGTTTATTATTAATTAAACCTTTTTATAGTCACAAATTTGTAAGCAATTAATCTGATTGGCTACAAAGTTCTATAGTATTTAATGCAAAAGTTATAGGTTAATCTCTTTTTAAATTAAGATAATTTTAGTCAATTACAGATATTTGCTACATAATAAAGTCTAAATTTACTATACTAATTAATTAAAGTTACTTTAATAAATATATTTGAAATATCAAAATACACATACTCTGAAATTTTTATCCAAATTAGTGAATATTTTTTTATTTGACTTTTAATTTTTATTTTCAATAAAAAAATTAAATTTTTTTTAAAAAAAATATTTATTGAATGTACAAATTAAAAGTTAAATAATAAAATATACCAGAATATATGTATTTTGGTCTTCTGAACAAGTTTACTTAAACATTTTTAGTCAATTAGCATAGTAATATTTAGACTTTACTATGTAATAATATTATCGATTATAAAGTAGCTTATTTTTAGATTAATAATGTTTTATATTTTTAACCCAAAGAGAGAGTAGTATGTTTTATTAATTCTGTTTCTAAACCAAAATAACTAGAATTATTTTGTTAATAAAATAATAGTTAATAATTAAATAAACTGTCTATAGACTAATTTGTTAGTTAAATTGTCTTGTTAAAATAATAAGATATTAGAGTTATAGAGTTATTTCTAATAAGATTTTTATAATTACTAATTATAATTTTTAATATAACTGTGATTATATAGAGGTTTGACAATATCTTAAAATAATAAATTCTATTTATTTATTGTAAGTTTTTATTTTTGTGGTTTTCTTTTCTATTGCAACTTATTGTTTTTTAAGAAAAATTTTTGTTGTAAAATTTAATACAAAATATTATCAAGAGTTTATAAATATTTTATTTTTTAAATTTGCATAATTAAATTAGTAATAGATATTTAATGGATTGTCGTAGATATCATGCATAATCACGGGCAGTCATTTATCATGTGTCAGTGTAGCGCAGCCATGCTGACGCATGATGACTGCCCATGATGCATGATATTAAGACTGACATTAAATATTTGTTTTATTCCCTGGATCCTAATGCTCTGTGATTGTATACTGATATTTTTACACTTTTTTGACCTTTTCTTTTACTTAAAATAACAATAAAAAAAATGCCTAACCAACGTAAAAAAAAGAAAGACCTATATTATCACCACTTCCTACTTTCAATAGCATATGCACTTATACTCTTGATAATATTTCTGAAAAAAGTACACCAAGATCTAAAATTGCCCAAAAACTTGATTTTTATAGGAAAAAAGCTGCAGTACCAAATATGGAAAAAGCTATACAAAATTGGATAAGAAAGTTTGAGGAATTTTGTCAACATTACAACTATGTAATACTGATCAAAATAATCAAAGATTCTTGTCTTATTGAGCAGCAAATCTGCGAGTATATTACACAAATAACAAAAAAGAATGGTAGTGACTATAAGGCTAAAACTGTCAAACAAGCTATTAATGGAATAAATAGATAACTTGGTAAAAATAGAGCAATTTGTGGTTTTAATTTACATAACAAGTATCAATTTCCAGATTTACATGATATTTTAAATGAAAAAATGAAAGATTTACAAGAAAAAGGTTTGGGTGAAAAAGAAGGATCAATGGCATTAACGGCTAAGCAAGTAAAGGAAATTCTTAATGATAAGTTCTTAGATCCTAAAACACCCCAAGGCTTATTATACAGAGCTTTTTTTCGTAATGCAACAATTTTTGCATGCCGAGGTGGTGAATATTACACACTTCAGATTAATCAGTTTCAAATCCAATCTGATAGCAGCATTCTTTTTTATCGGTATTGTAGTAAAAATAATCAACGAGGTATTCAAGGAGGTGATGCACATCATATTCACTTACCACCTGATCCACCTGGTACTTTGGAACCTGTTAGTAATCTTATGAAATATCTTTTTAAACGCCCTTCTGATGCTCCTAACAATTTTTATTTGCACCCTAATCTAAATTGGCAAGATTCTGGTATTTGGTATTCCAAAGTTTATTGTAGTATAAATAAAGTTAGAAATTTTATGAAAGATATTGGTCAAAAAATAAGTGTAAAACTCCCAGAAGGAATCTTAACAAACCATACCGGAAAAAAAACAGCAGCTCCAATTCTTCAAGATGCTGATATTTCAGAAGATGCAATAATGAACATTACAGGTCATAAAAGTGTACAAGGAGTACATGCATACAAGAATGTTAATGAACGTCAACAAATAAGAACAATGAAAACTTTGGTTAGTACTATGGAACCATTATGAGAGTCAGCTAGAATAAATCAAGATTCTTCTGTGATACTTCCTGAAATAACTGGATTTATTGTTAATGCTAATAATACTATTGCCACTCAAGATATAAATATAGTTCAGGGTGCTCAAGATATAAATATAGTTCAAGGAGAGTTTCAAAATCAGCGTTCTATTTTTAATAACTGCCATTTTACAAATGTTACTTTTAACTTTTAAGATGTGAATTTCTTTTTTTTTTAACCTTTTTTTTTTTTATAATGTATTACTTTTTTTATAGCGTAATAGTGTATACTGTAACTGTAAACTTTTTTTATATAGCATGTATTTTTTTTATAACATACAACTTTTTTTAATTTATATGAGAAATTCCTTCAATGACTGCATTTGCTAAATCTAAATAGCAATTTAAAACTGGTACAGTATAATACAAGTCACTCTCGTTATAGTGAACCTTCGTTATAGTGAAGATTGGTTTATAGTGAAGAATTTTTTTAGAACAGAATCAATAATAATAAATATTCACCTTATATAGTGAAGTTAAATAGTAAACTCTCGATATTAGCTATAGTGAAGATTTTTGTAAATGGATATAATAAAATGTCTCGCGTTATAGCGAAGATTATATCATGTGATTATTATTGTCCAATCAAATTAATTGATCAGTTGCCATACCCGTTGTAATACAAAAATACATGTCACGATTTTATGCATTATTCCTATATAGGGGGAGATTGAGGTTCTTAAATTTCTTGCACCGTACATACTGTATTTCGAGTAGCCAACCTGGCTTTTCACATTTGACCTTTAGACCTTGACTTCTGGAGGAAATAAAAAGTTAGAATTTTAAATTATGGCAATTCATTCTTGAACAATGGTATTGAAATGGAAAAAGATAAAGCGAAATTATTCGAATACACTTAATTGTGCGAAGGCGGATTTTTTTTTTTTTTTTTTTTTTTTAAAGATTTATTCTTTTTTTTTTTTTTTTTCAATTAAAATACTGTCCCTTTATTATTATTTTTTTTTTTTACATAGTCATTTTCATTTTGGTAAATGAAGTTGCGCTATTTCTTATTTTAGAAACATTCCCCCCTATTTTTTTTGTTTCTTATCACTTGTAACGGCAACAATGGAAGGACCTTCTGAAGAGCTGATGAAAAAGAAACAAAAATACAGTAAAGAAAAAAAAACTGATACAAGAAAAAGTCTGACCGGTATTCAGAAAGCTGAAATATGCCACCTAAAGCAAAAAGGAGTTAGTCAAATTAGACTAGCCGAACAGTTTGGTGTAGCCGAAGCTACAATCTCAGGTATTATTCATAAAAAAGAAAAGTGGTTAGCACTTGATTTAAACTCGAACAATGCCCATTCAAAGCGACAAAGGGCTAGAAAATATCCTCTGGTAGAAGAAGCACTTGCGCTTTGGATATCAAGAGCAAATACTGCGCTGCAAACAATTACAGGTGCAATAGTTAACCGTAAAGCAACACAACTCGCGGAAGGGCTTGAAGTGACAGGTTTCAACGCATCCGATGGGTGGCTTTCAAATTTCAAAAAAAGGCATCATATAAAAGAATACAAACGTTTAGGTGAAGGTGCAAGTGCACCTCTCGAGAATCTTCCCAGATTTCACAGTGAGTTGCAAGAACTAATCAAAAAATACAAGCCTGAGGATGTTTATAATGCTGATGAAACTGCATTATACTGGCGTATGGAACCCGATAAAACGTTAGCTGATAGCCCGGTTGCAGGAAAAAAAAAAGCCAAAGACCGTGTTACTATATTACTTACATGTAATGCAACCAGTGATCACAAACTCCTCTCTCTGTTTATACATAAATTTAAAACCCCTTGAGCTCTCAAAAATATTGATAAATCCACCTTATCCGTGTATTATTACTGGAATAGTTCCTCTTGGATGCAAACATCAATTTTTAACAATTACATTAAGCATCTAGATAACCAAATGCGACTTGCTCGCCATTCAATTCTTCTCATATTGGATGGTGCATCAACTCACGCACTTGAAGAAGGCTTTACCCCAACAAACGTTAAATTGCATTTTTTTCCTCCACATACAACAGCACATCTTCAACCATGTGATGCGGGAATAATTTGGAGTTTTAAGATTAGCTAATTTAAGCTTTTTTTATTTACCTGGATTTTTTTTATTTAAACTTTTTTATTTTATTT